TTTATTTATTTTTTATTTTAATTTTAAATAGCTTGTTTTACATGTCAATCCCAGTTCCCTCTCCCTCCCCTCCTCCTGCACCCCTCCATCCCCCCCATCCTCCCACCCTATTGCCAATTCCTTCCACATAGGGGATATCTAGAGTCTGTCATTTCACTCAGGGTAGGGTCCAGGCACTCCCCTAAGAGTCCAGGCTGAGAGAGCAACCCTCTTTGTGTTATGGACACACGATGTCTGTTAGTATTCGAGGGATAAACACTGATCCACTGCTCAGGACCCCATAGGTTGCCCAGGCCTCCTCACTGACTCTCACATTCAGGGGTTCTGGATCAGTCCCATGCTGGCCTCCCAGCTGTCGGTCTGGGGTCCAAGAGCTCTCCCCTGTTCAGATCAGCTGTCTCTGCTGGTTTTGCCAGCCCATTCTTTGCCAATTTGCTCTTCCCTCCTCTCTCTCTGTCGCTGGGTTCCTTGGGTTCAGTTCAGTGTTTAACTGTGGGTGTTTGCCTCTGCTTCCATCAGTCACTGGATGAAGGCTCCAGGATGGTTATAGACATCAAGTTCATTATCAGGAATGGGCATTTGAGGTGGTCTCTCCACTATTGCTTAGCTTGCCAATTGGTGTCATCCTTTTAGATCACTAGAGGTCACACTGGTGCCTGATCTATCTTCTAACCTATGATTCCCTCTTCCCCCTACCCTACCCCCCTAGTCAACCTTCCTGTTCCCCCATGACCTACTCTCTCTTCCTCTTCTCCCCCTCTCTATTTCCCAGCTCCCACTCCCTCCCACCCCTCGTCGTGTAAATTTATTATTTTTTTTACAAAGTTGTCTTTTGGGTGTAGCTTCTACTCTGTCCATTCAGAAACTGATAAAAACGCAGCCACCAGCAGAACCCATGAGTCTGTCTTTGATGTCAAGAAACGTCTCTAGAGTTGATGCTTAAGCACAAAGCCTGGCACTGTTCCTGGATGGGACTTCCTTTCCCTCCTTCTAATGCTAACATCTCCATTTCTCCCCGGTGCACTTGACCCCCTTGAGAGAGCCAGGAAGGCCACCCATGCTTCAGCACATTCTCTTCGGAAATCCATTTTCTTATTTTGCTTTGTGAGCATAAGGACCTGAGGTTGATCCCCCAAATCCACATAAAAAGCAAATACTTTTCTGACTGAAACGTCTGCTCAGCCCCTCATGGGACTTGATGTGTGAACCAGCACCAAGAGATGGTTCCCAACTTGAAGGAATTCATTTCCAAACGATCTGAAATGCCGCGTGGCCTAACCAAATGGATGACTTAGCATGCTCACTCTGTGTGTGTCCTTGCCTGTTCTTAAAATGAAAGGCAGGACCACTCTCCTGCTGTGACTCAGAAACGACAATCCTGGATCATCCCACACCCAGAAATTACTGCCCCCCTGAGTCAGGGTAAGAGTGGGGACCTGGGGGAACGGTACCTTCCTCCTCTTGCGCAATGGCAGTGTCTCCTATGAATTTACTTAACGGTGACTTTTGATTACGTAAGGAACGACTGTTTGTTGTCAAGTGCAGCATTTGTACCATGAAGCAAAGCAGAAAACGGAAATAAAAGTTACTTATAGTCACATCTCTAGTACGCCCATGTGTAAATGTGGTTTTTGCTCTAGCGTACTTTTATGTGTTAGCTGCAGCTTCTGCATAATTAGTGCTAGGTGCCTCCTGTTCGTTACCAAGCTGCGTTAGCTGTTACAACTGAAGAACCAATACGACTATTTCACTATTATCTGGACTACAAACTTCATTATGACCCACTAATGAGTCCCCTAATGTCCTGTTTCTCACCCAGGGTTCCTTTCAGGACACAGAATTATATGAAGTCGGCATGTCCCAACTCTTGTCTTGCTTGTCATAGTTTCCCAGATTTTTCTTAGTTTTTTTTTGATGGACTCAATTTATGTTTGTCTGGTGTTTTGTTCACCACCCCCACCATGGTTAGGCAGGATTAGCAATTATTAGGAGGAAGCAGTGGAGGTGAAATTCTAGTTTCATCACATACTGGTAGACATATGTTCTGTCATCCCAACTAATCAGTGATGACACTAGGTTTGATCACTTGGATAACGTCATGTTTCTAGATTTCTTTGATATAATCTTTTTTAAAAATCTTTTTAGTAATCTCTCCATTGTGGGGCTGGAGAGATGACTCAGCAGTTAAAAGTACTCACTGCTCTTCCAGAGGACTGGAGTTGATTCCCAGCAGCTGTGTCAGGTGACTCACAACTGTCTGTAACTCCAGCTCCAGAGGATCTGCTGCGTCTGGCCTCAGTCGGCACTGGCACTAACATGTACATACCCATGCAGACATGCACACCTATATGTAATTTAAAAAGTAATGAAAGTAAGTATAATCTTCCCATCGGAAGTCACCCAGCACAGCCACTTGAAAGTTTATGGAGTTCTACCATCTCCAGGGAGATAAAACTGCAAAAGCTGTTACAAACAGGTCAGTTTGGGTTCTGTAGAGATGGCCTAGTTGGTAAAAATACCTGCTGCACAAGCCTAAGGATCCAAGTTCGGTTCCCCAGCACCCATGAGAAAGCCTACTGTGGTATAAAGTCAGTGAGGATCAGTGTGGTAGTTTGAATAAGAAAGGTTCTGATAGGTTCCTATTTTTGAATGCTTCCTCACCAGGGAGTGGAGCTGTTTGAAAGGATTAGAAGGTTAATAGGTAGCCACTGATCTGTATCTTGTTGGTATACTTTTGACTTTTCCCAGAGAATCATAGGAAGACATCCAGTGTATAGCCTGGATTCTTCACTAATGCAGTGCACCTAGGAGTCACTCACGTCAGTGTGAAATCACAACACTTTTATTCTAACACTGAATAGCATTGCTTTGTCTAGATATACCATAGTCATACTAAAGGACATTTGGCTATTTCCATTTTAGGGCAATTACCAATAAAGCTGCTATAAATTTTCACGTGACAGTTTGGTGTGAGTATATATATTGCATAGTTTTTAAAGAATTTAGTAGATGTGTTTGGATAAGTACACTTTCATGCGGTGCCCTTGAAGACGAGAAGAGGGCATCAAATGCCCTGGAGTTGGACTTGCAGGCAGTTGTGAGCCACCTGGTGGGTGTCTGGAAAAGAACTCAAGTCCTCTGGGAGAGTGGTATGTGCTCTTTAACCACTGAACTGTCGTCCTAGCCCCCAAACAGAATTTTAAAAATCAGTTAGGTAAGTGACCACAGACAGATTTCGAGTCACACAAGTCTGTGTTTAATTTTATAAGGAGGTGGAAGCATCCAAAGAGACCGCCATTTTGTATTCCTGCTAGAGAATTGGTGAGTCTGCTGTTGCCTATTCCCCGGCAGTTAGCGGTTTTGATAAATGAACGGCAGCATCATCTAATTGCTTCGATTTGCGTTTCTTTAATGACAAACTATACGAAGTGTCTTCTCAAATGCTGGTTTGCCATTTGGTTCTCTTTACATGCATTGCCTGCTTGGACAGTTTGCTCATTTCTGATGGCAGTGTTTGTTTTCTTATGTGCTCTTTTCATAGTCTAGATAAAGTCCTAGACAAAGATGACTTGCTTCCTTCCTCCTTCCTTAGCCTGGTCTTGTCTCCACCTCCCAAGTGCTGGGATTACTGGCATGGCCTGCATTCCCAGCTCTCTTTCACGCTTTGAACATATCTTTCACAGAGCAAAGCTGTTATATTTCAATTCAGTCTAACTTGGCAATATTTTTCTCGTGAGTCATACTTTTGGTCATGTAGCTAAAAATCTCCTTATCAAATCCAAGTTTTTTAAACAGATTTTTTTCTAGAAATTATGTATTTTTACATTTCCCAATTGTATCTGTGATTCATTTTGAGGTGGGTTTTGAATAGTGTGTATGAGGTGTGGGCCAAGGTTTATCTACTGCAAATGAACGCCTACGTACCCAGCAAAAGATCTCCCTTTACTACTGACCTTTCTCTTTCCCTTTGTCAACAGCAAATCGGCTGTATTGATGGGGATCACTTTGATTTTTTTTTCTGGTCCTCTACTTGTTCCGTGGCTCTGTGAATCTAGCAGTTTTCAGTTCTACATGGTCTTCATTACATTGACTTAATTGTAATTCTTTAAAACTGGGTACGGGAGTCTTCTAACCTTGTTTATATCTTTCAATTGTTTTGGCTAAAATAAAACCTTTGCCTTTCCACATGTGTGTATCTGGAGGACTATGTTTGTACTGAAATCAGCTTTTTTGTTTACAAAAAACTATTGAGATTTTGGGTTTGACTCTATAGATCACATTGGTAAGAACTGTTGTCTAAATAATACTGAGTCTTCCAACCCTTAACACAGTAGACCAATCCGTTCATGAAGTGCTTCCCTGATTTCCTTCATTGTGGTTTGATGGATTTCAATATGCAGATCCTACACACACACACACACACACACACACACAGAGAGAGAGACAGACAGACAGACAGACAGACAGACAGACAGACAGACAGACAGAGACAGAGACAGACAGAGAGTTATTTTGTGATAAGTCTCCAGTAGCCTGGACTGAATTTGAACCTGCTGTACAGCTGAGTATTATCTTAAACTTCTGATCTTGCTGTCTTCTCTCCTGAGTTCTGGTTACAGGTCCTCCAAGCATGGTTTTTTGTGGTACTGAGGATTGAACCTAGGGTCTCTTGCACAATACTCCAGCACTCTACAAACTGCACGATATTGCAAGGCCATACATGCATTTTGACAGATTTATGTCCAACTACTTTTATGGCCTACTATTGTAAATAGAATCCACATTTAAAATTTGAAGTTAATTTACTATAGCTGCCCCTTAGTGTCCACTGAGGAGCTGGCTCCAGGACTCCCCTGGGAGACATCAAATTGGAAATTGTTCCAATCAATTAAGCAAAATAGCATGATATTTGCATGTAGTCTGCATACAACCTCCTATGTTCTTTAAACTATCTGTAGATTACTCACACACTCATACAATACCGATACAGTGTAATGTAAATAGTTGGTACGTGCTTGCTTAGAGAATTTAATATCAAGAAAATTCTGTGTTCAATGAAGATGCAATTTTCTTTCCAGATATTTTGTATCCTTGGTTGGTTGTGTCAACGGATACAGAAGCCATGGATATTCAGTGCTGATGATATATACAAATAACATAGGGCCTGGAGAGATGAATCAGGGGTTAGGAGCACTTGCTGCTTTTCCAGAGGACCCAGGTTCTGTTCCCAGCATCTACAATGCCTGCAATTCCAGTTCCAGGGACCCGGATGCCCTTTTCTAACCCCTGCAGGCTCCTGCATATACATAAAATAAAAGTAAATACATTTTTTTCAAAAAGAATAAATACATTAAAATTTAGTAATCTATAACTTTGATGGAGAAATCAATATGATTTGTTCTGTGTAAATGGTGCATATGTGTGTACATATGCATGTGCAGATGCACATACATGTATGTAGACATATATGGAGACCAGAGATTCACATCAGATGTCTTCTTCTATCAGTCTTCATTGTATTTTAAGACAGTCTTTCACTGAACCTGAAAACTGCTGACTGGCTACACTGGCTGGCCAGCAAGTCTCACAGACACTTCTGTCCTCCGTCCCCAGATCTGGGAGGCACATGCTGTTACATCAGCTCTAGGGCTCAAACGGGCTCTTCATGCTTACACGGCAAGGACCTTATAGATTGAGCCATCTCTGCGGTACACAGTTTACTTTTTTTTTTTAACGAGACAGGGTTTCTCTGTATTGTTTTGGAGGCTGTCAGTCCAGCCCAGCCTCGAACTCACAGAGATCGGCCTGCCTCTGCCTCCTGAGTGCTGGGATTAAAGGTGTGTGCCACCACCGCCTGGCTCACAGTTTACATTTTTAATAAATAATTTTGGAGCTGTTTTGTAGAGTTTTGGGGAGTTTTTACATAGACATCTGCAGACACATGTCTTGTCTTTGCGTTTATTTCTCTTTCATGCCTTATTGCATAGCCTAGGTCTTCTGGTGTAATGCCAAACAGATGCAGGAGTAGGGGCCAGACTTGCCTTCATTCTGATCTCAGAGTCTCCTCAATGCTCTGTGCCTCTAGGGCAGGCAGCTATTATGGCCCATAGGTTTTTGCTTTATTTTTCCCCTGAGTTCCTACCCAGTAAACAAGCAATGCTTATAGGATTTCCCAGTTAAGGTTTTTGTGCTATGAGGAAGAAGGAAAAAGGGAGGGGTTAACTGCACATCTCCCTCTAGTAACAGCTGTTCTATCATCCTCCATGTTTGTTAAAAAACATCCTCCATTCCCAGCACTCGGGAGGCAGAGGCAGGCGGATCTCTGTGAGTTCGAGGCCGGGTTGGACCCCTCCGAAACAATACAGAGAAACCCTGTTTCATAAAAACCAAAACCAAAATAAATCCTCCATCATTTTCCTGAGAGTACCGGGGAGGTTTGTGGAGGAAACCTGAAAATGTGTGAATGGCATCATTATCAATGTGTTGTTTTCCATTTCTGGCCCCCACTGCATCAGCCATATCCACACTGTCACCTACCTTATGGAACTCCTCTTATGTGTATCTCGCTGACCCACCCTTTGTCAATACCGAGTTGTCTCTGGTTCCTGGGTTAACTTACAGAGAAATCTTAAGTATTTGATTTTGTAGGTCAAGGAAGAGTATGTCCTCAAATTCCTTGTAGTAACCCCCCAAGCCCCTCACTTTCGGATGGGAAAGTGTGTCTGCACAAAAGTGATGATGCATCCATTCAGTGAATCTGAAAAATGTGGGAGAAGGGTCTTTGTGAATCTTAGGTTATCATGATCACCAGAAACCAAACATGCATTATCCTCTGGGGACACTGCTGCAGTTTCTCCTGCCCTGGTCTCCACCCCTTCCACTAGACACTTGGTTCTGGGAGCTTCAGGCACCTTCCCAGGCTCCTCCCACTTATGTGATTCTTCTCCCAGGACTCAACACAACCGTATTCCAAATCCATCTCCCATTAGTTCACCTCTGTCCCTGGAATCTGGATCCCTCCGTTCTCCATGGACATTTTCACACTGTACACAAAGGGAAAACCACTCAGTAGGTGACACCGTGGCTGGCTGACTCATGAAGTCCCTCTGCGACGGGGCTTGATTTCTCAGTGAGAAGTCACATCTGATCTCTAATGGTTCAGCAATCACAAAGAGACTGAGAAGAGGATCGCGAAGCCACTAAAAGGAAGGGCGAGGGGAGCTTTGGCGAGTGTGCTGCTGAGTCCCTCAGTGAGGTGTACTGAAGCTCACACTGAGCTCTGTGCCTATAAACAGTTCCTAGATGGGAAATGGAGATCCTCTTCCTCCTGGTAACATGGCGGCATGGCTGCAGCTGCCATGATCCCCAGAGTGCGGAAGCCAGGTGACAGCGATAAAAGCTCCGTTTGTGATTGAACATTTTTAAAAAGAACTGTAATAGTGGTAACATTTAAGGCATAAGCATAAGACATAGATAATTCACTATATGAGAATCTGGAAATGAACGTTCTACCTGAGGCTGACTGAACGTTTGCTCTGGGCTAAGGGTGGTGTGTGTGTGTGTGTGTGTGTGTGTGTGTGTGTGTGTGTGTGTGTGTGTGTGTGTACACATGTGTGAGTGTACATGTGTGTACACAGGGCATGCTTGTGCTACTTTGCATGTGTGGAGGTCAGAGGACAACTTCTGTCTTGTTTGAGACTCTCTCTCTACTGTTCACTGCTTTAAGCATCAGGCTAACTTCTGAGAACTCTCCTGTCTTTGCCCCTCTCTCCACTGGGATTGCAGATGTGTACTGTTGTGTCCAGCTTTATGTAGGTTTAGGGATTTGAACCCAGATCTTGCAGGACTAATGTTGTATCCACTGAGCCATCACCACAGCTCCCAGGTGCTCTTACTTGAGTGACACTAGTCAATGAGTCCCCAGAGACAGTCGTATAAGATGGATCCTTCCCCACATTCTAGATGAGGAAAGCAAGGGTCAAATAAGCAAAAGAATTTGCTCAAAGTCGCAAGGCTAGGAAATGGTTTGTTCCTCTATAAACCATACTAAGTGTAAAGAGATGCCTTTTCCTTGACAGCTGCTTTGGTCCCTCCCCACCAGTCACCTGGGCTCTGCCGCGATGTAATCCCCAAATAACACACAAGATGCTGTATTAATTATGAAGCTGTTGGCCTTGCTTGTTTCTTATTGGCTAGCTCTGACATAAGTATTTACCCCATAATTGTTAATCTAAGTATTTCTCTTACCAGAGAAAAGTTTCCAGGCTTCTTAGCCCTATGGCGGTTACGTCTTGACTCTCTGTGTTTCTCCTACCCAGAGTCCTCCTCGACTCCTAGTCCCACCTATCTTGCTTCCCTATTGGCTAACAGTGCTTTATTGACATATACACAGGACTTCCCCCATCAGCTAAGGAAGGCTTTTGGAGTCCCAAAGTCTACCTCCTGCGATTTCCTTATGTAGAAAGAGGAAAGTAAACCCAGGGCCCACAGCACGCAGGCACTGGGTTATTTACTGTGCAGCCAGAGCCAAGACTCCGTCTTTTCTTTTTAGTCGGTGCAGCTTCTTCTGCTGGAGGAGATGAAGCAGATTGGCTTCAGGTGAGAGTGAGACTCTGCGAATTCCAGTTCTGCCTAAGGTCACGGGTAAGGCTGTAACGAGCTTCACAAAAGTGTGTTCAAACTGGTCTGCTTCTTGAAATGGTCCCATAACATGATTCTCTCTAGCAGCCAAGTTTCTAAGTGACTGTATATTTATGGTTTAAAAAGGGAGGGTCATTATGATGTTTTTCATATGTGTGCATCATGTACTTAGTTATAACTGCCCCTTTCCCCTCTGCTGTTTTCCTACTCTCTCCTGATAGTCCTGTTTCCTCCTAGATGTCTCGTGCCTTTAAAACAACGACTTGGGCCTCCGAGATGGATCATTAGGTAAAGAAGCTTGTTGCCAGGCCTGACAACCTGAGTTTGATCCCTGGGAAGAGAGAACTGACTTCTACAAACTGTTCTCTGACACCCACATATGCTCACGTACCCCTACAAAATAAATACAACTGCAAAGCAAAACAAGCAAAACAAAACAAAAAACCCTAGAGTCTGCGTAGCAGAGACAACATGTCTGTCTTCTTTCACTCTGGCTTCTTTCCCATGCCATGATGACCTCCATTCCATCTGTCTTCCTACAAGCAGTGGAATTTGTTCTCCGTGTTTCCAGCATCCAGTTTCAGCGTGGTTACGCTGACCAGACGGGCTTTTCACGTGTCCTGGTTCCCTGGGTTCTGTCTGCCCCGCCCACCACAGCCCCTGTGCTCTTTTGGGTCCTCTTAGCAGGGTTTCTAAGGAAAGAGTGGGAGGAGAAGGCAAAGTGGTGAATAAATACCACACCGAGAGAGATGTGGCTCTTTCAAAGACAAAGGGGTTCACCGGGGTTCGAGCAAGAACAGCACAGCAACTGTGAGGCTTCATCTGAGGCCTACCGACAGGACGGCACTTTATGGCCTGGGATGTTTATAGGCCAAGACATGATTCTTATTACCTTATACCCACACATCATGCTCACCCTCAGTCCTTTACACTGTCAAATAAAAGGGAAATAATAACACCTTATGTTTGTATATTGATTTATAGCTTACTAAGCACTTTTACAGTCGTGATCTCATTTGATCCTGACAATAAGTTGTGAAATAGCTGAGGAAGGTTATTATTAATCCCATTTTACAGATACGGAAACTAAGACTTAGCATTAAGTGAATTGCTCAAGGTCCATCAGGTAGGAAGTGGGAGTCAAGGTTGATATCTGGCACTCAAGGCAGGGTAGGGCCCTGCAAGGATTGGTGAGGGACCAAAAGAGTCATTTCAATTTAGGACTCAGGCCATGGTCTCCGCATGCAAGCTCAGGACTGAGAGAGAGCTCCAAGGCAAATTGATATGGAAGGTAACAGGTGTCAGAAGTTCCAAAGAAAGGACTGATGGTATGGAGAGGTGTGTGTGTGTGTGTGTGTGTGTGCGTGTGTGTGTGTGTGTACATGAGCACACACGTGCACAAGTATGCACATGAACGTTCAGGTGTACCTATCTATGCACACATGGAGGCCTGAGCAGGACGTTAGGTGTCTTCTCTACCTCACCAGCTGGGAGCTCTGCATTTGGGCTACTCTAGCTGTCCAGTGAGCTCTCAGGACCCACCTGTCTCCACCCCCCAATGCTTGGGTCACAGTCTTGTACAGCCACCCCTGGCTTATTGTGCACTCGGGTGCCCCTGCTTGCAGCACAAGCATGCTTGCACGCTGAGCCATCTCCTTAGCCTGAGAGATACAATGCCTTTTCTAGAAGACAGTCTACTAAAACAATTCAAGATCAAGAAAGCCTTAGAAGGGCCATAGGCAGGTAGATGACTTTAAATTTGCTTTGCCTCCCCAGAAATAAGTAAAATAGGTAAATAAATAAGAAAATGAAAATTGGGAGACACACCAGAGCAGATGGATATTTTGGGGACTTTGAGAAATACTACAAAGTATTTCTAGCCTTATATGCAAATGAGGTCTGCATTAAGGGGTGGGGTGATGGCTCAGCAGTTAACAGTACTTGATGCTCTTGCAGAGGATCTGCGTTCAGTTCCCAGCACACACATTGGGCAGCTCACAACTGCCTGTAACTCCAGTACCCTGGAATCTTATGCCCTCTTATGGCCTTCACAAGCACTGCACTCATACACACACACACACACACACACACACTTAAAATCTTTTAAAAAAGCAATTAACTCATGCATTTGCTCATGAATACTGTAATTTTATTGGTGAAATTTTGCATAATTTAGTTTATCAAGCATGGCAAGGCAAAGTCATAAAGCAAAGTATATATGGATAAGGTTATAAAAATGTAAACATTTCTCTCCCATAAGTCAAAATAAAATGAAATGGCAAGAACAAAATAAATAGAAGGAACAGGCTATAAAACATTTAGATAAATCTATGTCTGAAAAAAATTAACCACTTTACTTTTTTAAATCTTTAACAAACTGGTAAGGCAATAGTAACTATTGTGTTCTTAATAACAGATTAATTCCCCATTGGGCAAACATGAACTTGGGATATGGACAAGACATTTATAAAATGTATTGGGATCTGGGAAGGTTGTTCAGACTATGAAGTACATGCTACACAAGCATGATGACCCCAGCCCCCATTGTCCATGTAAAAGGCTGGGTGCAGCAGTTCGTGTCTGTAATCCATCACTGGAAAGCCATGCTAGGCAGCCAGTCTAGACAAACCGCTGGGCTTCAGACTGTGAGACTCTGTCTAAAAATTTAACACAGAAAGCAACTGAGCAAGCAAACATTGACCTCTGGTCTTCACATGCACACACACTCATACACACAGGCACACACACGCACGCACACGCACACACACATGCACACAAGCACAGACACACAGACACACATACATACAGACACAGACACAAAGGTACACACACTCATACACACAGGCACACATAAACACACACACAGGCACACACATAGGCATAGATACACAGATACACATACATACAGACACAGACACACAGGAACACACACTTGGGCAAACACACAGACACACACACAGACAAACACACTGATACACATACACACAGACACATACACTGACACACAGACACACATGCATACAGACATAGACACACGGCAAATGCACATATACACAGCGGCACACATACACACAGAGACAGACACACAGACACACACATGTGAAGAAGAAGAAGAAGAAGAAGAAGAAGAAGAAGAAGAAGAAGAAGAAGAAGAAGAAGAAGAAGAAGAAGAAGAAGGAAAGAAAGAGAAAAGAAAGGAAAGGAAGGAAAAATGAAATGGCAAAAATATATTGGTAGGCCCTGTTGGGGCACTGCACACCTGTATTCTCAGTATTTGGGAGTTGGAGGCAGAAGGATCAGGAACTCAAGGTCATTCATAGCTAGTTCAAGGCCAGCCAGGTCTCAGGAGAACCTGTCTTTAACACAACATAAACATAAATATACATATTACATGTATTTTCATAATGTATATAACATGTTCTATCTTTACTCATAAGGGTATCAATCTACATGAAAAGGAGTCCACTCTGCTAATCTGGTTTATAAAAGAAGTTACAAACCTTGCATTCGGTGTTTTCTTTTTTAATATAAGTGTAGGTTCTGGAACA